GCATGATCATCACACAGGTGCACCTTGTGCTGGGGACAATAAAAGGCCACTCTAAAATGTGCACACAACACAATGCCACAGATGTCTCCATTTTTGAGGGAGCGTGCAATTAGCATGCTGACTGCAGAAATGTCCACCAGAGCTGTTGCCAGAGAATTGACTATTCATTTCATAACCATAAGCCGCCTCCAACGTCGTTTTAGAGGATTTGGCAGTACGTCCAACCGGCCTCACAACCGCAGACCACGTGTAACCCCGCCAGCCCAGGACCTCCACATCCGGCTTCTTCATCTGTGTGATCGTCTGAAACCAGCCAACCGGACAGCTGATGAAACTGAGGAATATTTCTGTCTGTAATAAAGCCCTTTTGTCAGGAAAAACTCATTCTGATTGGCTGGGCCTGACTCCCCAGTGGGTGGGCCTGGCGCCCCTGCCCAGTCATGTGAAATCCATAGATTAGGGCCTAATGAATTTATTTCAATTGACTGATTTCCTTATATGAACTGTAACTCAGTAAAATCGTTGAAATTGCTGCGTGTTGCGTTTATATTTTTGTTCAGTATAGTAGCAAATTAACAACAAAATAGTTGGCTAAAGCAGAAGCGGACTGACATCCAGGTTGCTCAAGTGTGAATGGTTGTAAGTGATCTTGAATGTCAGTTAACTTCCTGTCTCTAAAGGTCAAGAAACCGTCACACATAGTAGACTCCACACACAGAAGACTCCACAGACAGTAGGCTCTCCAGACATGCTCATGTTTTGCATTGACTGTATTGTTCTGTTTTATGTGACCTCAATAGGTAAAACCAAGGGCCAACCTTCCCAGTTTCAACAAAAGAAGCAAAGGAAATCTTATCTTAAAACCAATCAATACTGGCATTTTTATGACAGTTTATCTTGTCATGTCTCTCATGCAATGGCCTGGAGCTTGCATAATGTTTGTTCTACTAAGATTTTTTGCCTTTTCTGTACTTTTTTTTGTTTTCTTTGTTTATGGCGTGAACTTCACATCAAATATATCCAAGAGAAAGGCCTACAGAAGCTATTACAGTGAGGGAAAAAAGTATTTGATCCCCTGCTGATTTTGTACGTTTGCCTACTGACAAAGACATGATCAGTCTATAATTTTAATGGTAGGTTTATTTGAACAGTGAGAGACAGAATAACAACAAAAAAATCCAGAAAAAAACGCATGTCAAAAATGTTATGAATTGATTTGCATTTCAATGACGGAAATAAGTATTTGACCCCTCTGCAAAACATGACTTAGTACTTAGTGGCAAAACCCTTGTTGGCAATCACAGAGGCCAGACGTTTCTTGTAGTTGGCCACCAGGTTTGCACACATCTCAGGAGGGATTTTGTTCCACTCCTCTTTGCAGATCTTCTCCAAGTCATTAAGGTTTCGAGGCTGACGTTTGGCAACTCGAACCTTCAGCTCCCTCCACAGATTTTCTATGGGAATAAGGTCTGGAGACTGGCTAGGCCACTCTAGGACCTTAATGTGCTTCTTCTCGAGCCACTCCTTTGCTTGCCTTGGATGTGTGTTTTGGGTCATTGTCATGCTGGAATACCCATCCACGACCCATTTTCAATGCACTGGCTGAGGGAAGGAGGTTCCCACCCAAGATTTGACGGTACATGGCCCCGTTTATCGTCCCTTTGATGCTGTGAAGTTGTCCTGTCCCCTTAGCAGAAAAACACCCCCAAAACATAATGTTTCCACCTCCATGTTTGATGGTGGGGATGGTGTTCTTGGGGTCATAGGCAGAATTCCTCCTCCTCCAAACACGGCGAGTTGAGTTGATGCCAAAGAGCTTGATTTTGATCTCATCTCACCACAACACTTTCACCCAGTTCTCCTCTGAATCATTCAGATGTTCATTGGCAAATTTCAGACGGTCTTTATATGTGCTTTCTTGAGCAGGGGGACCTTGCGGGCGCTGCAGGATTTCAGTCCTTCACGGCATAGTGTGTTACCAATTGTTTTCTTGGTGACTATGGTCCCAGCTGCCTTGAGATCATTGACAAGATCCTCCCGTGTAGTTCTGGGCTGATTCCTCACTGTTCTCATGATCATTGCAACTCCACGAGGTGAGATCTTGCATGGAGCCCCAGGCCGAGGGAGATTGACAGTTCTTTTGTGTTTCTTCCATTTGCGAATAATCGCACCAACTGTTGTCACCTTCTCACCAAGCTGCTTGGCGATGGTCTTGTAGCCCATTCCAGCCTTGTGTAGGTCTACAATCTTGTCCCTGACATCCTTGGAGAGCTCTTTGGTCTTGGCCATGGTGGAGAGTTTGGAATCTGATTGATTGATTGATTCTGTGGACAGGTGTCTTTTATACAGGTAACAAGCTGAGATTAGGAGCACTCCCTTTAAGAGTGTGCTCCTAATCTCAGCTCGTTACCTGTATAAAAGACACCTGGGAGCCAGAAATCTTTCTGATTGAGAGGGGGTTCATTAAAAGGCAAATCAATGCGTTTTTCTGGATTTCTTTGTTGTTATTCTGTCTCTCACTGTTCAAATAAACATACCATTAAAATTATAGACTGATCATTTCTTTGTCAGTGGGCAAACGTACAAAATCAGCAGGGGATCAAATACTTTTTTCCCCTCACTGTATATGTGAATGAATGATAAATACTACAATGGGTCCAGTTTGTGGACAGTTTGTATTCAAACTAAAACCTCTTAACTAGTTAATGAAGATGATTTAACTGTATTTGCTAACTGAATGTCCCAATTCCATATTGCTGATACAGAGGATAGAGATGGTTTATTTCACCCTTAATACTAATCATCCATGGTTGTTTATCTGACCATAAAGATAGGTCTATCTCTATTACAATTCAGACAGTTTCATTTTAGGATATAACCTAGCAAAAACGATGACACTGATTAATCCAGATCAATCGCAAACAATCCCCACCAGGTTGCCACTTCCTGGTACAGATATGTAGCCTTATGCCCAGGCTTATCAGAACAGTATAAAAAGTGATATGTATTCTCTTTCAGACACTGATCCAGTGTCTCACCGAGGACCAGGTAGGACTTGGGCTCTATGTTTTTATTATTATTATTATTACATTATAGTTTTACTATCACCCGACCGTCAGTTATAACCTTTTAGGTACAATAATTGCAACATATTAAACTTGAAGATGGACAGTGCAGACGCACTCGGGCAACCTTAGCCACACACAACATTCTTACCACCATGGTTTGTTTAATGAAATGAAAATGCTTTTTTCCAGGTTCCTCTTCGGTTTTGTAAGGAGAGGCCGTGCAACTACAAACTCATCATGGCCAAACTAACACTCCTCACTGGTAAGTCAAATTCTGGCAATGAAATATTGTGATACATTTTACATAATCGTGTTAATGACACCATCGTATACTCTAGATACACTATATATACAAAAGTATGTGGACACCCCTTCAAATTAGTGGATTCGGTTATTTCAGCCACACCCGTTGCTGACAGGTATATAAAACTGAGCACACAGCCATGCACTCTCCATAGACAAACATTGGCAGTAGAACGGCCTTACTAAAGAGCTCAGTGACTTTCAAGGTGGCACCGTCATAGGATGCCACCTTTCCAACAAGTCAGTTCATCAAACTTCTGCCCTTCTTGAGCTGCCCCGGTCAACTGTAAGTGCTGTTATTGTGAAGTGGAAACGTCTTGGAGCAACAATGGCTCAGCCGCGAAGTGGTAGTCCACAAAAGCTCACAGATGCTGAAGCGTGTAAAAATGGTCTGTCTTCGATTCCAAACTACCTCTGGAAGCAACGTCAACACAATAACTGTTCTTCGGGGGCCTCCCGAGTGGCGCAGCGTCTAAGGCACTGCATCGCAGTGCTTGAGGTGTCACTACAGACCCGGGTTCGATCCCAGGCTGTGTCACAAGCGGCTGTGACCGGGAGTACCATAGGGCAGCGCACAATTTGCCCAGTGTCGCAAGGGTTTGGCCGGAGGGGCTTTACTTGGCTCATCGCGCTCTAGCGACTCCTTGTGTCGGCCAGGCGCCTGCAGGCTGACTTTGGTCGTCAGTTGAACGATGTTTCCTCCGACACATTGGTGCAGCTGGCTTCCGGGTTAAGGAGCGCGGTTTGGTGGGTCATGTTTCGGAGGACGCATGACTTGACCTTCGCCTCTCCCGAGCCCGTGGGGAGTTGCAGCGATGAGACAAGATCGTAATTGAAATGTTGAGAAAAAAGTGGGTAAAATACAACAAAAATAACTGTTCGTCGGGAGCTTCATGAAATGGGTTTCCATGGCCGAGCAGCCGCACGCAAGCCTAAGATCGCAATGCCAAGCGTCGGCTGGAGTGGTGTAAAGCTCGCCGTCATTGGGACCTGGAGCAGTGGAAACGCGTTCTCTGGAGTGATGAATCATGCTTCACCATCTGGCAGTCCGACAGACGAATCTGGGTTTGGCGGTTGCCAGGAGAACGCTACCTGCCCCAATGAATAGTGCCAACTGTAAAGTTTGGTGGAGGAGGAATAATGATCTCGGGCAGTGAAGGGAAATCTTAACACTACAGGATATAATGACATTCTAGACGATTCTGTGCTTCCAACTTTGTGGCAACAGTTTGGAATGAGATGTTCGACAAGTAGCTGTCCACATACATTTGGTCATGTAGTGTACTTTGTTGACTGCATGCAATTAAGCTTGTTTGATTTGTCTAATACAACAAATGTTTAATTCCTGTTTCAGGACTGTCCGTTTTGATGTGTCTTCAAATGGGTACGTTTTGTAGTTCTTGCAGCATTACTCTTGATGTCTATCCAAACTTAATTGTACTGTAGCTACCAAAAATAGGATATCGTTAAGTAACATTAATATGGAGAAAATAAATAACTTACTGTTGAAAAACATGGCTCAGTACATAGCAGACAACATTGATACAATCCTAGATATGGTCACTGTCAAAGTCTTTGTCTATGACTTTGTTCTGATGGGGGCCTGATACTAGTAATTCCTCAACAGTGTCATCAACCAAACTGTTGTGCTACTTCACCAACTGGTCCCAGTACAGACCAGGCACTGGGAAATACCTGCCGGCCAATGTGGACCCCAATCTCTGCACTCATCTGATCTACGCCTTCTCAATGATCAACCACAACAACGAGCTAGTCACCTACGAATGGAACGATGATGTTCTCTATCAGTCCTTCAATGGGCTCAAGAACCAGTGAGTTTTAGCTACTGAGCTATATGATTGATGCCTTAGGTTCTCCATCAGCATTTTGTGCATTTACAATAATTATTACATACTCACATTTATCTTTAAATGCATTGAAATTGGGTGTGTTGATGAATCTCTCTTGTCTTGGACAGAAATCCTGCACTGAAGACCCTGTTGGCAGTTGGTGGATGGAACTTTGGGTCCAGTCAGTGAGTATTGTTGCCAGATAGCCATGATTAAGTTGTACATGTTTCAATGTATTTTACTGAAATAAATAAACATGTTCTTAAGTATCTATTGGTCATTATGCTTTTCAATTAATAATAACAATTCCAGGTATTATGATTACTGACACTGAATAACTTTTCAGATTCACCATCATGGTGTCAACACCTGCCAATCGCCAGAAGTTTATCCAGTCCTCCATCAGTTTCCTGAGGATGTACGGCTTTGATGGCCTGGACCTGGACTGGGAGTACCCTGGATCACGAGGGAGCCCCCCAGAGGACAAGAATAGGTTCACACTGCTGTGCAGGGTCAGTTTGGCATTCACAGCCACAGTAGTAATAATCAAAGATCTGGAAAACATTATATTTGGATCCTGAGTAACAATTTTAATGGGGCACCATAATAATTATGTTCAACTTTAACTGATCCAGCACAACTTCGAAATTATATTATTTCATAACATTAACAAAATACACTGTCTCATTTGGTTCTGGGTCCAGGAGTTGCTTGAGGCATTTGAGGAGGAGGCCACTGACACCAGGAGACCAAGGCTGCTGGTCACAGCTGCAGTGGCTGCTGGGAAGGGAAACATTGACAATGGTTATGAGATTGCAGAGGTTGCAAAGTGAGTCCAAAAGTTAAAACAGAGGGCCGTCATTCACCATAGGTGATTGGTATAGTAATAATTATTGCGAAGGTTTATAATTTACCATTTAGTATTTTCCATGTTACATTTTGTGACCTTTCACCTTGTGTGACTGTGTAACAGATACTTGGACTTTATCAATGTGATGTCCTATGACATGGGTGGAGCCTGGGACCCATTCACACGCCACAACAGCCCCCTGTACCGTGGTGCTTTAGATGGAGAGGAAGGAGAGCTCAAGTATTTCAACGTTGTGAGTAAAACATATTACCAATCATTATTATTTTGAAACCATTTGAAACCATAAATAATCTAGAAAGCATTTTAGAAACCATTAACAATTTGTCAAATAGTTGTTGAATGTTTACTCTTTTTCCAAAGGACTTTGCCATGAAGTACTGGCGGGACCAGGGCGCCCCTGTTGAGAAGCTGATGATGGGTTTCGCCACCTATGGGCGCACATTCCGCACTGTCTCAGGAGACAATGGCGTCGGAGCCATAACGAGTGGACCAGCCTCTGCTGGAACCTACACCCGTGAGGCCGGCTTCTGGTCCTATTATGAGGTCAGTACTGACTAAAGGTCAGGGAGAGGGGTCAAAGTTCAAAACTACAAATACAGTTGTCACTGGTGGTGCGATCTCCCAACTCCGTGGAGTCAATTAACACGCTATGTTTTGGAACCACTTGGAAACACTTGTAGATGATAAAAAAATAGATTTTAACACAATGCATCAATGCACACTTTCAGTATACTGTACTCAGGGCCAATTCAAAACAACAGCAATCAGCTTTCCAACCTACTCATGACATGTTTATTTTTCTCTTCCACCAGATCTGCACTTTCCTGAATGGAGCAACTGTTGAGTTGATTGAGGATCAGATGGTTCCCTATGCCACCAAAGGAAATGAGTGGGTGGGATATGACAACTGGGAGAGCTTTGAAATAAAGGTACGGTATCATATTACTTAAGACGACTTAATGTGCAAAAAGGAATCTTCTTTCAGTTGATGGCTGTAAATTGTAGTAGTCGAATGTCTTGCTAATTTAAACCATAATATCTTTGTCATTGATTACATGGTGATTGGTTGATGGCTATATGGTTTTGTGAAATAAAATATTTGGTCATTTTATAGGCACGCTATCTAAAAGACAACAAGTTTGGAGGGGCCTTTATCTGGTCTCTGGATCTGGATGACTTTGCCGGACAGTTCTGTGGACAGGGCAACTATCCCCTGATCAGCCATCTGCGTTCTCTTCTGGCCTCAGGTAAGCAGCCATTACTAGAGCACTGAGGTTTAAGTCTCATAAGAGGTTTGGTTGATATAACAATGACATTGTATCATTCCATTCTTGACAATACACTCTGTGTTTGATAGATTTGCCACCCCTTCCTACCACAACACGTCCACCACCACTGCCAGCAACTACCACCAGCAGTGTACCCGCCACCACCTCCACCACCACTCCTCTGCCCGGCAGTGGCTTCTGTGGGGGGAAAGCTGACGGTCTGTACTGTAAAAAGGAAGACCCTAATGCCTTCTACCAATGCTTCAATGGACACACCTACCTCCAGAAGTGCGCCGCTAACCTTGTTTTCAACGAGAAATGCAAGTGCTGTGACTGGAATTTGTAGAACATGAGCATGGCATAGGAGTTTTCTGTTAATGTACAAATTGCAGCCTGAGTAACTGATATACTATGTTTACCTCAGTTTCATGATGCCAAGGCTCGTTTACATTTAAATGAAAAAAGATGTACTCCAATTACAATGGAATAATAAAAAGTGAGCAAAAAATAAAGTATTTGTGTAATGTTTGTATGTAATGTTTATTGATGCTGCTTATTGTGACTAGATTCCAAGAGATTGGAATCTCTTCCCATCATTTGAAATGTTCGAAACCTTTGTGTTTGTTGTTACACAATTAACCCAACTGTAAAGTACTTCACACTTCAAACTCATTCCACAGAGGGCCGAGTGTCTGCAGGTTTTCGCTCCTCCCTTGTGCTTGATTGATTAATTAAGGTCACTAATTAGTAAAGAACTCACCTGGTTGACTAGGTCTTAATTGAAAGGAAAAACCAAAACCCCAAGGAACAGACACTAGGCCCTCCATGTAATGAGTTTGACACCCTTGGTATAGGTGAATTTAGACCTACTGTCTGAACACTTGTAAAATCACGTCGGACTGTACATTGTAACAATTTGGACACATCAACTGGAAACAAAGATGGCCGTCACCACAGTGCATCATGTTTATTAACCATTATGTTCACCACGCACATCAACGATATCTTCAGCTTTATTGGCCCATTACCTCACACACTAGGCAGCAGTATTATAATAAAATTTATTTCAGTTATCTGAAAACAGATAAATCAAGTATTGCACCTCAATTAACATGTTTAATATTCACAATAAAAAAATCTCAAGTACCTCAGAAATCAACAAGTAAGACATCACGCAAAAGTTGAAATATGGCCTTTTAAGAGCTTGCGATTTCAAGTTTCATACCATTACTGTATATTGAAAATAAAATGATTTATATATCTTTATATTTGTTTAGAAACCATTCCACAGGGAGGACATTTGGCCAGCAAATATCAGATTATAGCTCTCACATGCACACTGCATACACTTCACCCATCACAATAATCTCCATTTCAAGTTTCATGTCAATGATTAACAACAAAATAGTAACATATTACATTGATTTTGTACCAATTAAAAACGTTCTATGGCCATACCAAAATTCTAACTCCATATCTCTAATGCAGTACTGTCACCAAGCGGCAGTGTTTTTCTTTCCTTTTTTTTTTTTTTTACAACACAGAGATCAAAATCTCCATGTTGTATGTCTGTTCCCCTTGAGATCTTGCCCCTTTTTGATGTCTGAGTAATATTGAATTGATGTACTCATTGATAATACAAATCGGACTGTCTTCATTCAAACTATAGCATTGGTAGTTTGTTGTTTATCATATATACTAATCACCAAGAGATGTCTGTACTTCACCCAAAATAAAGGAGGGACCCAACCTGAAGGGGTAAATAGAATCTTACACAACAAAGTGTAATTTTGATCTGGATTATGAATTTAACAGTGGCATACACAGCCCCCACCCCACCCCTCCAATACCCTGCTTTAGAGCTCATGACCAGCACTGTGGGGAGAAGGGAGCTCCTTGATGTCACAGTTCTGGATCAGATTGAAGTAAAAGATGACCAGTTCTTCGTAGTTCTTCTTAGAAATCCTTGAAATCCCTCGTGCTCAATACCATGAGACCTGGAATAGTTGAGAATGCATTAAATGACTGGAAAGGATAGCGGCCAAACTACAGTGTTAGTAAGGTGAGACTTTCGTTGTCATGCAAACAGAGGGCATTGTTTAACCCTCCTTGTCAAGATGCTGTGCATGTAGGGCTGACTTACATGTTATGGTTCAACAGTGTCACATGGCTAGATCATAAGACTGGAGTTTGTCTCATGATCAACAAAAGGGCTGTGTTCGAACAATCTCCTCAACCCCAACAGGCCAAAGATACAGTATGTTGTACAGTACGTATCCAGTTACTATGACTACATTCAGCACCTGATAAAGAGATTGGGGCTGGAGAGAGCTCTTCTCTACAGAATATTCAGTGCTCCAGCTACAATGTGAGTCATACCTCTGGGTGTCCCCTGGTCTGATCCAGGTAGGTGCAAAGCGATAGATGTCCTTGGCCAGGTCAGTGTAGTGGCGGCTGTCTGTGTTTCCGATGCAGATACCTGCACGTTGGAATATGATAGATTTGTATGTTGAATCCTACTATGTCATAGATATGTGAATATGTTGCCTGAAAAACCCATACCAAAAGCAGGATCCCCCCCAACATCATCGTGGGCAAATCAACCAAATACCATTCCCTCTCCACACACACTCCCTTCTATTCTGTTTCTTACCAGGCGCAACAGTAACTTGTGGGAACTGGTCCAGCACGGTCTTCTTGATGGTCTGGAACCCAAAGGATGTTTCATCATACGAGCTGACAGGCAGTGGGTCAAAGCCATTCACCAGCTCCATCTTCACTCTCTCATCTCCCACTGTGGATTGGATGAACTCCAGAACCTGACAGGAAGATACAAACACTATCATTTTGAAAACTGGGGGAGTTTTCAAAATGGTCAAGCATGACTAAATGGTTTATAAATTCAGTGTCTCGGTTTTGTGAGATCAACCTACGATTTTAGCTTTACAGTATAATAGATAAATAACATTAATTTTGAATATAGCATGCTGTTGAACCATATAGGTAGATGCGTAAAATGCTAATCCCCACCTCTTGTAATGACTGTGCTGGATGTATCCGCATATTCACATAGGCCTCAGCAAGGGAGGGAAGAACATTCACCTGTGAAGAATAGAAACATCAAGTACTGTATTTGCGTAAAGATGCATTCCAGGACCATATAACTTAACACAATTTGAATTTTGAACATATACAAATTGCAAAAAAACAAGAACATATCACACAAAATGGATGACGTAGTACAACAATTTCGGGGACCCGTATGGCTCGAGAGCACTTTCAAAACTATTGGTGAAATTATAGAAAACCTCAGGAGCATCACTTTAACAGACACCTTCATGCACTATAACTCATTTATTATGACAAGATATTGTACCTTAACACCTGAGTTGAACATGGTGACTGCAGTTGTAGTTCTCACAAAAGCATTTGTGTCAGGTCTTCTTTCCAATACTCTGTAACATAAACAAATGTTGTTATTTAGGTTTTATAACTCAATCGAGTATAATCTGCATGTAACTGAAATAATCAAGGTGGAACAAACCAGAGAAATTCAGTGAGGGAAATTACCTGCCAATAAGTGAAGAGAACAGCCACATATTCGACATGACAAACTTAAGTGGGAGTCCAAACTTTAAGACAAAGACATTTCAAAGTGATTTAAAAAGCTATGTACTTATTTAAAATGTTGTTAAGACTAGTACTAAACACTAGTCTCTTTATAGCAGATTATCTGATAGGATAATTGAAGCCAATGTAGGATAGAGGTTAGACACACAGGATTACCTTGTGAGCTAAGTGTTCAAAGGTCCTGCGGTCAGGGCCTCCACCAAACAACATGGGCATTGGGTTGTCCTCCAGCCTGACAAAACAGACCACGTGGGCTTAGGTTCACAATATGACATGACACAATATATTCTATGACGCAGGCCTAAAACAATGTAGGCCTAGCCGATTTAGAAATGTCCTCCCTTTACGGAGTTCACGCATACTCAACTGAGGTGTATACAAGCTTACTTTCTTGTGTTCTTCTTATTTATATTTCTTGTGCGTTTTTTTACTACTTTACGTTATAGTCCTACGGATATTTATTATTGCATTGTTGGGATAGAGCTAGCAAGAAAGGCATTTCACTACACTTGTCCGCGTGACAATAAAATTTGAACCTTGAGCCTTATAACATATTTGTCTATAATGTTCATGGCTGACCAAGAAAGAAAAGTGGAATTCCCCTTCATTTAATTGTACCTGTAGGTGTTAAGCAATGGCTACACACAGAAGACCCATCTAGCCTGTGATGAGTGTGATTCCCAAATACCCTCTCACCTTTTGACAGCTCCAGCCAGGATGCCGATGCTGCTCTCTCTGGGAGGCATGGAGGAGTGACCCGGGGCCTTGAAGACACTCAGTTTCACAGTGGCTTGTCCTTTCTCAGTGACCCCAATTCTGACACATATACACACAGGCAGGCCCACACACTTTTAATATACTGTGAGTGCAATCTATGACGTAAGCCGTATAAGTAACACTTAATAAAGGAGAAAGACATTAAATATGAGACAAGAGTTAATGAATGAATGCTTACAGAGCAGCAGGCCCCTGCAGACCACTGATGACTCCATCCAGCACAGCCAGACCCTCATCCAGTACGAACACCAGCTGCACCCCTTTCTTCTTCAGCACCTTCACTATGTTCATGGCCCCCTGGAAGCCACTCACCTACAGTACAGACAGAAGATCATGTTTCTGATTTCTGTCCCTTTCGGTTTCTGAAATAAAAGACCTCTACCAACTTCACAAACCTCTTCATCATGACCCAGACCAATGAAGAATCCCCTTCGCGGAGAATAACCTCTTATCAACAGGTACTCCAGCGCCTGAAGAATTCCCTACAGTGAAAAAAATTGTCTGGTTAGATTCTGACAACGTTAAATCATATTATTGGATGAGGAAAAACAGTAACCACATTGTTAATCATGCAATGCCCTTGGCCTAAATCAGGGATGGGCAACTTTGTTGGGGGTGGGGGCCACAAAACAATCCCCCGCCCCACACACACTGCGAGCAAAACATTTTAGTAACCCCGCTCTCGACAGCAGAGATAATTTTTACATTTATTTGGTGCAATTCTGCACATTTTGCCATGGGGTGTACAGAAAATGTTGCAGTTTTAAAGCACGTTTGCTGCAATTACATATTTTGTAATTTTATAACTAATTTCATGCAATTCTCCTCATTTTTCCATGAGGCAGAGAGAAATGTTAGCAGTTTTTAATATATCTGAGTGAGACTGACAAAATCAATGGAGGGGGACCCCCAGCAGGTAATTTGACCATGATAACACATGTAGATAGCTGTCCACAAAACTCATTTAGCAATCTAAAATAATGTAGCTGACATGGGCTTATTGACTGACTATCAGTGACTTACATAAAAAGAGAAACTGCTGATGCACAACCAAATTTCTAAATGGCCCCTTCTAACTCGCAACAGTCAGTTGAGACCCCAACTGAGTTCCCAAAATTGATCTGAGGGCCTTCAAAAAGGGGGGCCGCGCCGCCAGCTGCCCATCCCTGGCCTAAATCATAGCAAACAAATCATAGATTTCTCTCTACGCTCTGATCCTTGTTCTTGGAACACCCAGGTCCCATAAACCTCTACCTACAGTCAACCCTCACCATGACAGACTGCTTGTTATCGATGGTCCCTCTACCGTAGATGAATCCATCTATCTCCTTTGCAGAGAATGGTGGGGCCTCCCATCCATCACTCTCATCAGCAGGCACCACATCTATGTGGGCCAGCAGCATGTAGGGGACCAGGGCCAGGTCAGAGCCAGGCACCCAGAACAGGTGGCTGTAGTTGGCCACAACCTCATGCTGGACCAGGTGGGAAGAGAACACTGTAGGGAAAACTGGCAGAGGGGGGGGAAAATATGTTTAGTGTAGGGCAGGGGTTCCCAAACCTTTTCTGCCCAAGACCCCATTTTGATATAAAAAAATTCTCACGACAACCAACCATGTGAAAAAATTATGTACGGTAATTAACAGCCAATGTTCACTTTTTTATTTGGAGCTATGGCAGTCAATTGAAAAAAAAATTAACAGTATTTCTGATTGTATTCTCAACTCACCATCACATACTTTTAAATGTGGGGCTATGACGTCCAACCTGGATCAATATTTGGTTTTAATGCAGACGAGAGCACTGAATCAAACTTCACACAGTTATGAGCAGGCGAACGGTACCATGAGTTTTATGGTGCTTTCAAGACAACTGGGAAATCAGAAAAATACGAGATCAAATCATGACGTCAGTGATCTTCAGGTCGGAGCTCTAGAAAGAGGTCTGAGTTGGAATTCCGAGTTGGATGACCGTTCAAATCGATTTTTCCCAGTCTGATTTTTCCCCATGCCTCCTTCTCTTGGCTTTGCCTGGTTCACCTTTAGAAGACCATCTCCAATAAGAATGATTTCCTCTGAATCGGTTACTCATCTGTAGAATGTTTTTGTATTTCCCCCGCATGCTTGGGTTCAGTTTCGTTCAGTTTCCCAAATAAGTCTGTTACATAGGCAAGGAGAAACATTTTATTTTCATTACAAAGTCAACTAAGTCCTTTTTTTCCTTTTTTAACATCCAGTGTGAATGACAACACTTCCTCTCTCAAAGTGAAAAATCTTTCCAACACTCCCCCTCGTTAACCACCAAGCCTGTGTGTGAAATAGAACATTGTCATGCTCTGATCCCATACCTTCACATAGTTTTGCGAACAGGCATGCACACAGTGGATGTGGTTTGATGTAGTTTACAATCGAAGTTACCTGCTGCAGTATATCTCAGAGTTCTGTGCTCAGCTTTTTTGCCGCCAGTTGCTATGTGTATCATACAATGCGTCCATATGGTAGAGGAGACACATTCATAACTAGAGCGCAGAGGCCTGCCCGCCGTCCCACCATGGATGGAGCCCCATCTGTGCAAAAGCCCACAATTCGACCCCATGGAATCTGTTTTTCATCAATATAGCCACGCAGCACACTGAACATCCCCTGTGCCGTTTCATGCTCGGGAATCATGAGACAGAACAATGTCGTCGTAGCATCCCCTGACATGTATAGCGAACAAAAGGCAATGCATGGGCATCTCGGCCCTCATAGCTAACGTCCATTTAGAAAGCATAAGCTGAGGAGTTTGACTCATGCAGTCAGTTTCCTCTTGATTGCTAGCAATAGCTTAAATTCTTAATTTAACATAACTAATTGATGAGAGTTTCTGTGCCTCTGCCTCCCCACACATTGTTTTCACCATATTAATTGCGGTCAGTAATATCAAAGTCTCTGCAATAGCGTGTGGTTTCATAACGTAGTGGTCCTAGCCATTCACCGTTGGAATGATTCAAGTGCAACGGTCAAGTGTGGCCTTTTCCCATGATCTAAGGGCGCTCTCGGATTGAATTTTATCTTTTATTTTTGAATAATTTTCATTTTGATTTTTATGGTTAACCACATTACAATGATTGAGATACAAAGACGAGATATTATTTTTCACGACCCCTAGTTTAGGAACTGCTGGTGTAGAGTGTTGGGGGGGGGGGGGGTAAAATAAACATTGCTTTTAGAGCTGAACTGATGATACAACAGAATCCCAGAAGCACACTGCATTTTGTTGTATGCCTGTAAACCTTACCATTGCTGAGATATTACAATTTGTGTCTGAATTCTGGGTCAAAAGGCCGCGGGAGATAATGCACAGGTCAATGGCAAAGCCTTCGCCAAAAATGGCACCAAAGTTAGCATTTTTCCAACTAAGTTATTTATTTTGACCTACTAATGCAATTAATCACACACACGCTACTGAACTAACCTGATGTAATACTTTTAGGGTTTTAGTGTGCTCATAAACAGCAACAATTATGTAATTCGACTAGACATACTCCTTTTTCTTCTGCCCACCCCTGCTCTAAAACCTTTGAGCTAGAGACACTAATCTAACATTACAGACTGCTTCAGACTAGATTACCTGAAATGACCTTTTTAAACCATAGCAATATATGCATACAATTCAATGCATTCCAAAGCCCATAGACTTTTAACGGGGAAATTTCCATTCGAAACTCCTCACACACCTATGCTACTCACCAAACCTTAACCCCTCCCTTAGACTACACGAGTGTGAGTGTGTGTGTGTTTGTGTGTGTGGTGGCGGCTAACCTTCCTGAGCTACTCTAGCAAAGGTGAGATTGTAAGTGTTCATAAATGTGTGCACAACAAACCGTTTTCCAAACATTGCGTCTAATAAATGGGCCAAGAATCTAAGTTAAAATATTCCATACAGGCAGATGTCATTACACTAGGTGCATATCTTAAGTTCCTTAGTTCATAGTGAACATGCAAAAAAAACAGGCCTATTAATATCAAACAAAATGAACATCTGTACTTTTCACACCACCAATAAACTGTGTGTACGAAAGAAAGACAAAAAGAAAGAACAGAAAAAAAAATACAAAAGTAAACCAAATAAAAAAGATGACATTTGATGGTTAAAATGTCATGAGAGTTTAAGCTCTGAGCATAATGATCATGTGCTCACACATTACCTTGACACCTGTCCAGGGTTTCCTTTATGAAAATGTAGTGCCAGACATTTGACCTTAACGGACATTTGAGAAATTTAGCAGACCGATATGCATTGGGTGCATAACCTGATTAAAGCATCCACCCAAGGTGCTGAGAATGACAGAAATCACATTTAGATTATGGTAATTAATCTTAGCAGAACATGCAAGCCGAGGATGCATTGATGCGTGTCCTTACCGCACACTTTGAAGATGTTAGAATAACTGTCCACATTTACTTTTCCTCAGCCAACAAGACAAGTAACAAACAGCAAAATCACATAGGTGGTGTGTGAGTTTCAAGTTTGGGGAAGCCAATTTTCACCATAAAAATGCACCTTTATAATAAAGCATTCCATGCATCATCGCATTTGCAGACTTATGTAAAATAGCCTACCGTAATATTCGTAACGTGATTAGTAGACTGGATAGTCATAATTTAGGCTAATAATATAACACAAACACTGTTCGCAAAGACTGTTCAATGCATGGCTGAGAGCATAGAATGTAGAGGCCTGGGCTATATCAGTTACATTTCTTTTTTCTTTGCATGGGAAAACCACATTTCATGCAATTTTACTACACTTTATGACTTGTGAAATTAGCTGAATCTTTTTTAATATGACAAATTACAGGGTAGCCTACTCTGCTGACACTGACAAACAGATCAATAAAATTGACATATAATAGGCCTACGAGAAGGGGAGACACAAATAGAATATGACATCCATCTAAACTGGAGGAGGAAATTGTCCAAAAACAAACTTAAGTGGCACTGACCCAACAATGATAGAGTGAATATCACTGGGGATATGGCCGATGCTCTCCGCTGGTGCCAATAAGATAGGCCTATTGTTGTTCCCTCAATTAAGTTGAGAATTGTTATAACTAAAAAGACCGATTTTAGTCTTTTCATTGTCTTCTCTTTACAGCAATAGCCATTTGCTTTCCAAACTATGTTTTCCCACAATTTCATTTAGAAATATTGCGATATGCCTGGCTGGGCCCCCTCTACTTTTGACTGACAGTCGCAACTCAATAATCATCTACAGTATTTGGTATTTGCTGCACGCGCTGCCTTTGCTTCCAACTGTAGGCTATTCCATTTAAAACAATCCACAACTTTTAAGGCTTGGGGAAGCTAAATGTTCCTCTGTGGCCAAATCATGCTTTAGTAACCTATTTTGAATTATTTTATTTATTTCTGTATAGACAGGAGTAGGCTAATTAGGCTATATAATTTTGGCAATTTAATTTAAATGTACTTAGCCTTATGGACGCGCCACCTATGAGCCTATGTCAATCTACTATCCACCATAGAAGAAAAGTTTACCTATTCGATTGGTCAGCTTGTTGAGAAAGAAATAGCCCAAACAGACTCTGGGACAGGTGTGGGACAATAGATCCCAAATTCATACAACCAGTAGGCCTAGGCTACAAAGCAAGGTAAAACATGCCTCATAATATGTAGTAAAACATTCAGGTTTCAAACAATTAAAATGTTTTACATTTACATTTTAGTCATTTAGCAGACGCTCTTATCCAGAGCGACTTACAGTTAGTGAGTGCATACATTATTTTATTTATTTTTCATACTGGCCCCCCGTGGGAATCGAACCCACAACCCTGGCGTTGCAAACGCCATGCTCTACCAACCCTCCCCTACCCTGGACGACGCTGGGCCAATTGTGCGCCGCCCCATGGGTCTCCCGGTCATGGCCGGCTACGACAGAGCCTGGATTCGAACCAGGATCTCCAGTGGCACAGCTAGTACTGCGATGCAGTGCCTTAGACCACTGCGCCACTCTGGAGATTATTATTAATTAAGTAGCTATATGTTTTCAAAATGCATACTGCCTCCAGCTCATTGAATAATGGTGTGTGACATGCTGATGAAGCCTGCCTTCTGTTGCCTATGCATTTGAATGGCGAATGAGAAGCGCGCTTCAATTAGCAGTTGAGAAATAAAAATAGAAGCTCTTTAATCGTGGCCCAAAAACTATTTTTAACATATGATTGCATTTAGAATTGTTGCGCAATGATTGGGTTTATAAAAGCGCTGACTGACAGATTATCCGCTGAAAGGCTCTGTATTTGTATGCTGTGCAAGTGTGTATTCATTATGCATGTTATTTATCACACGCGAACAGCATACAGAGCCTTTGTGCGGAAAATCTGTCAGACAGTGCCAATTAAATTCCACTAAATGATGTATATTACCCCATAGACCAATAAGCATGACTGGTCAAATGTATTTACATCAACTGTTATTTCCATCAATGAATCGGCTAAAAATCATTATTTCGCAATGGGATTAAATATATATATATATTAAAATCGCCTTTTCTATTTATTTATACAATTCAAAGGCCAAAAGCCAGCTATTACCAGTTAATGGAAACCCTGCATCTGTCCCACCTTTTACCCCTCCCTCACAGACTACTGTGTGTACTTACATTATACAAACTAATTGGTCAGAAGATGGGTAGAAGAGGCCATCCAGACGAGCAAGATATGTTAAACATTGGAAGAACACAGGCCTATTAATAGCAAACAAACCAAAACAGAATGAGAATCTTTAATTCCATACAAATATGTATGTAGACTGGCAGTCCTTGCTGAGGGCATTTATCAACCAGTGGTCCTCTCCTTCCCTCCCCCCACTCTCTCTCTTGTGATATAAAGACAGGTGCCAAGCAACGTTCCTCTCTCTCCCCCAACTACTAGCTAGCTAGCAAGCAGACTTGCTGAGAACAGAAGTTGTCACCTCCGTGGTCTAAATGCAGTCTCACTTACCGCATATAAAATTGTTACTAAGAATCTGAGGTTTGAATGTATTAAAGTGTATTTGTTTCACCAAATCGAGAGAGACAGGGAACGCGGTGCGAGAGGAGAAAATCTCCACCACAGCCAGCCAAGCAGAACGCCCCACTCTCTCCCCACAGTAAGCAAAGGTTGGCTAGCTACCGTAGCTCTCTAGCCAAACAGTTTGTTAGCCACCTACTCGCGGTAAATCTACAAACGCTTCAACAATTCAACATTAAATCTTGATAATGGCATAGCTACATTTCCCCATGAACCTTATCTTTGTAGTGATAAGTAAATGTTGCTTACCTTCTCACGGAGGCGATTTCTGCACTTTTTCCACAAAACGACTTCCAGACATCAGTCAGCATGTATATTTCGCTTCGAGTTTAAACTCAAATCGTTTATGATTGGACAAGATAACACTTCCGAAATGGAAATGTGAAAGCAGTATTTTCAGGAGCGCGAAAAGGGGTCGTCAGAGCTCCCCCGATTATCAGAGACTTGCTCACGAACGGTTCATAAGACAACATTGACATTTACACAAGTTATTCACAACATATTAAGGAAGATATTTATGTCCAAATATTTAACTTTAACAGTTCATCAAAATATTATGATTTATAAAGTGAGCACCAGCGTCAAACAATTATCGCTCAATAGCCATATTTTGTTACATGATATAATTTATAATCAGCTTTTAAAATAATGGAGTAAACGGGGTTGCATTTCTGCTTGAGTATCATAAAGCTGTGTCCTAATGCTAATTGTTAACTTTGTGTGCTCAGTGAAAACATGTTTCCTACAGTAACCGTCTGCCTTTGGATCCTAAACAAAGAATATCGGCGGTTGGCGGGTAGGTTACATTTCCTCAGGAGGCTGTCGAACTCGCGCAGTGCGGTGACGTTGAGCTGAGTCTTCGAGGTTGACACCGTGGGAATCCGGATTGCCTCTGCATACAAAAAAGCCGGTGGCGTTGACCAAATTTGGTGTGCACATTATAGCGATTATTCACACAACATAGACTGTCAAATCTGTTCGGCTTGATGGTCAAATTAGTCCGGATCTCACCTCTGAAATTCTCAAGAAGCTCCTTTCTCTGGTGCTGGTTTATGTCAGACGCAATGTTGTTCGTCTTCTCCCAGTGTGCAAGTTGAAGTCCTGCATTCACATCAAACGTCAGAGTCCTTACAATGGCTGCAACGAAACATACTAAAACAACGAATAATAAGCTAAAAGACAAAATCTTGACTAACTTCAGAATGTTAAATTTTGCACTGCGGTCAGCCATTTTTATTATTTGACAGTGCACACACGGAGTGTTAATGACAGTGCAGCTGCTCGTGACGTTTTGATATATGAATGACCATTAGAGCGCCAACTGTTGGGCTGGAAATAGGATATCCGCTATCTGCCACCCATTAAGTTAACGTTTGAAATGGTAAGCGTTAGGGTATGGACGTCACAAGGATTCCAGATAGCATTGACCCTGGCAATATGTCACCAGACTATCAGCATACCGACTGCTCAACTAAATATGCACATGCATGCATGCAGTTTGAATCAAAATGTCATACAGCATTTGATATTCATTTAAGGGACCATGTCCAAATGAAACAAATCTCTTTATTCAAAATAACTCAAAACAACACAAAAGCAACTCTTGAAAAAACACTGAATTCCCTGACATTTTTGGTTAAAAGTAGCTGTTTCACACCCAACAGAAATGTTAAAAATTACAGATAGGTTCAAAAAAGGTAATGAGTATTCACAAAATATATAGTTCTTATTAGTTTGACATTTCAGTGCTCAAAAACTTTAAAACATGAGAATACTTTCCATAACCACATCTTTGGTGAGCTCTAAAACAGACTGGACTTTGATAACCCCAACCAAACCAACTTGTAAATTGTAGCTGTAATTCCATTCATTTTTCATTGATACATACTTTTAATTAAATACAAAAAATCTTCCATTAAGTTACACAAATCTCATTTTATTTTCTGCACTTCCACCATCACTGTATATATTTGAACAGTAGTTTCACCTAAACATTTTCCAACCAACATGGTTGTACTGGCTACCTTGCTTGGTTAAGAGTGACATCATCCAGAGTGTAAAGGTGAATTACGGTGACCAAATGAAGTTCCTCACAACTGTAAACCAATTTGTGGAGTATCCCGATTGTCCATCCTTTTACCGAAGTGTGCACTACTTCTCATCATGGATTTGAAAGCTTAGGATGTGTATAAGCTTTGGCTGGATGAAGTTTTATCCATTATTAAATCCATGAAGGAAAGGATTTCTCCCTTTAGGAGAAGGGTGGAAAATCAGGACACAGACCTAGAGCAGGGGAGTTACTCCTCCCTAGAGAGGGTGTACAGACAAGTCCTAGGGGTCAGCCTGGAGCGACAGCCCCTCAGTCTCCATCCCCATACTGAGGTTGTCCAGCAAGGCCACAAAGGGATGGTCCGAGCTGTGCTCCATGGCAGCGTAGATGAGGTAGAGGAGGCAAGTCAAGATGAGGAAGACCAGGATCTGGACCCACAGAGGCACCAGGCGGCACTCCACTGCCTGTCTCTGTAGGGTCATGGGACTGGCAGGGAAGTCTGGGTATTTAAACTGGACTGGTCGCCCCGCTGCACCCTTGATAGGCCTCCGACGGGTGGCACTGGAAGAAAGAGGAAAATTAGCCACATAAAAGGTAGGCAAATAGTATGAGAATATGGAATCTATGTAGCCTCAGTAAGCAGAAACCAAAAAAGTCACTGGGACATAGCCTTATTTAACCTGAGAGATGGCTACCTTAGTCTTCTTTATGTGTAGTGTTGTTTTATGGAAACTGGACTTACGCAATGCCAGTGCGTGTGGGTTCTGTCTCCGGGAACATCTCCATCAGGACATCTGTGGCCGGCTCCTTAAGAAGAGAAACATATAGAGCCACAAATCAGACTGTCTGACCCAAACCAAAACAGATGAGAGGAAAGAGAAACGTCCACACTACCAGTGTCCTCACCATCTTAAATCAGATCAGGTGGAATGGCAAAGAGATAAAAGGTTAGGGGAAAGTCCTTATTGTGCAAGACCTTGGGTTCAAAGTCCTGAAGACACATTTTCCCCAAACCTTTTCTTAGTAAAACATTAAATTTAGGTATGAATGAACACTTTGTTTAAACCACTAGCTTGGTTGTATACATGAACAACCCAATCAAACTGACATAGTGACGGCAAAACCATTAACCGGATAATAAAGTATAGAGTGTAGACCTGCATATACACCATACCTCTACTGTATGAACTGTTGAAAGAGTGAAAAGATGGGAATGAATCTGAAAGACAAGTAAACAAGCTAATGTAAGTGCCTTGATATGCTGTTTGAAAAAGGAGGTATTTGGGGTGACGCAAGGTGATCGGTTAGTCATGGTATACTTGTCCACCATCGCCATGTCCTGCTAGAAGAAGTGAGAAACAACTCATTAAATGTATACTCCACATCCCCCTCTACTCACACGCTCAGATAACCACAGCCCAGTGAATCACATCCACCCTGTAACCACCACCAACAACAGCTTGTCACTGATAAGATTACTGAAGTGTTTGTGAGTACTACTGACCCGGTGGGGCCTTGGCCAAGGTCCCGGAATATTACTCCCATTGTGCTTCTGTGTTCTACTACTGGAGAGAGGGCTTCGACTCTCAATCTGTGGTTCCAGAGGAAAACGTAAATAAAGCATATCACTCATTGGTCATCACTTTTGTGGGATTAGATATTTAGGTTGTTGATGTGATCGTCAAGATTAGATAACAAAAACCAGATCAAAACAAACTTCCCTCTTCTACCATCTCAGTAATACTGAAGCTCTGAGAAGAGGAATAGGAGGAATCATCACGACCGCCTCCCAAAGATACAGACGGAGGCTGTACCTGCATGGTTAAAAGTAAGACTGTTTTTCAGAGCCACAGCCAATAACAGGACATCCAAAAATATGCTCCAACAGCTTGCTTGATCCCTTAAGTTGTCCCTTAAAACCCAAAATATGCACCAGCTTTAGAGTGTGAGAAGAGAGCATACTGTGCAGATTCAAGAGGAAAATAATTGCAAGTAGAAGAGCAGAGATCCCATTCCCATTGAAGAGTTCAGTGAGTTTTTCTAAAAGAGTTGCCACTGATCCTGTGGTATGTCCTAGCAGAGAGGATGTTCTGCTCAGCCCAACTCCGTGCCCAGGGGTAACAGGCGATGGGGGCAACTGCCCCCGGTGCCCCCCCTCTGCTGTTATGGAAGACTCAGCCACATTCCCATGATTCCCTGCATTCCTCTTGGGATTGAATTCATAGCGGCCCGGAACTCTCCAAACCCACTGCCAGGTAGCATAATTATTATCCCATTACACAAAAGCATCACACTCCAGAAATAATTCCATCACCCATTTTAAATGTGTGAATAATTCATAAATAAGGGTGCTGGTGGTCTAAGTAGTTGACAGATTTACCATTCTGGACGATGGCATAAAACACTGATTATAATGATATTCAGCTTTTTTATTATTCAGAGAGTGTCGTTCCATCTGTTAAAAGTAAGGAATAACTGAGCTGAGAACAACTCCTAAAATATAACAACTTATTTTGACTTTGTGACTGAACAGTTTGCATTAGAACCCAGGCACAGAAATACCTAACTACTGTCACAAATTGGCACTGCAGGCAACATCTTTTCATTACTTGAGGACAACGACATAGCTGCATAGGAAATGTGCTATTCTTTGGTCAGGGTCTCAAAATAAGATCATAGTATGAATGCACTCACCTGTTCATTAGCATGCTGATATTCCTCCACTAATGAAACAGTCTCTGGTCTTCCTTGTTCTGAACCTACAGAATCAGAGGTAAACACATCCTTGTTTGAGGACACCGTTTTGTCATCCATTTTAGTATACAGAATCCACATCGGTGTCTGTATATCACAAATGGCAGTGACAAATCTGAATGATTATACCCCACTCCTCCTCCCCTTCTTCACTGTCAGAGTACTGGTCTGCATCTCCTGTGCCCCCGTTCTGTCTGGGCTGGGCAGGTTCTAGTAGCCTTTGCAGCTTCCTCTCATAGATAGACCTGGTGGTGGCTATCACAAACAGATCAATTTAAAACTAAAGACATTGTACAAAGTACCATATGGATATGTTTTATTAGCAAGTGCATACAAATCAAATACAGATATTAAAAGGAGGCAATTTTCAGTAGCTACATACATTTTTGGACTACCCATTGATTTTTGAAGAATATAACTTCTAAATTCCTCATTACTTTAGTTCAAACTATCTTACCCCATCAGAACCCAAAATATAAGCTTGTTTTACTCCAATGTTTGTAATCAAAGCAAACAAACACTGCATAGCCTCAAAACATGGTTAAAACTATCATTTTGATATCTTGGATGGTCAGTCCTTGCATCCATAGCTCTGTCTATGAATTTGAGAGTGGTAACATTTCTCCAGCCCCATCACTTAGCTTTTTTGTTTCAACTTGATTGCTGCTTTAATGTAACGTCTTTAATAAGTGTAGTCTTTAGTAGTCTCACCTACAATGGGTCCAGCTTCGACTCCATATTTGAGCAGTGTGGCCTTCAGTTCATCATCCGTAAGTCCACAGGGGTCGGTCATCTCTGGATCTTCCTTATCTTCTTCTTCCTGTGGGGACAGGAAATGACCAGGTACAGTGAGGGCAAATAAGTATTTGACCCCTCTGCAAAACATGACTTAGTACTTGGTGGCAAAACCCTTGTTGGCAATCACAGAGGTCAAACGTTTCTTGTAGTTGGCCACCAGGTTAGTACACATCTCAGGAGGGATTTTGACCCACTCCTTTTTGCAGATCTTCTCCAAGTCATTAAGGTTGAGGCTGACGTTTGGCAACTCGAACCTTCAGCTCCCTCCCCAGATTTTCTATGGGATTAAGGTCTGGAGACTGGCTAGGCCACTCCAGGACCTTAATGTGCTTCTTCTTGAGCCACTCCTTTGTTGCCTTGGCCATGTGTTTTGGGTCATTGTCATGCTGGAATACCCATCCACGGCCCATTTTCAATGCCCTGGCTGAGGGAAGGAGGTTCTCACCCAAGATTTGACGGTACATGGCCCTGTCCATCGTCCCTTTGATGCGGTGAAGTGGTCCTGTCCCCTTAGCAGAAAAACACCCCCAAAGCATAATGTTTCCACCTCCATGTTTGACGGTGGGGATGGTGTTCTTGGGGTCATAGGCAGCATTCCTCCTCCTCCAAACACAGCGAGTTGAGTTGATGCCAAAGAGCTCGATTTTGGTCTCATCTGACCACAACCCTTTCAGCCAGTTCTCCTCTGAATCATTCAGATGTTCATTGGCAAACTTCAGACGGGCCTGTATATGTGCTTTCTTGAGCAGGGGGACCTTGCGGGCGCTGCAGGATTTCAGTCCTTCACGGCGTAGTGTGTTACCAATTGTTTTCGTGGTGACTATGGTCCCAGCTGCCTTGAGATCATTGACAAGATCCTCCCGTGTAGTTCTGGGCTGATTCCTCACCGTTCTCATGATCATTGCAACTCCATGAGGTGAGATCTTGCATGGAGCCCCAGGCCGAGGGAGATTGACAGTTCTTTTGTGTTTCTTCCATTTGCGAATAATCGCAGCAACTGTTGTCACCTTCTCACCAAGCTGCTTGGCGATGGTCTTGTAGCCCATTCCAGCCTTGTGTAGGTCTACAATCTTGCGGAGTGGAACCCAGTGTCGTCGTCTGCTGCAATAGCCCATCCGTGACAAGGATCAACGAGTTGTACGTTCCGAGGTGCCGTTCTGCACACCACTGTTGTACTGTGCTGTTATTTGTCTGTTTGTAGCCCCCCTGTTAGTTTGCACGATTCTTGCCATTTTCCTTCGGCCTCTCTCATCAACAAGCTGTTTCCTGCTCACAGGACTGCCGCTGACTGGATGTTTTTTGTGGTCCTCTGTAGCTCAGCTGGTAGAGCACGGCGCTTGTAACGCCAAGGTAGTGGGTTCGATCCCCGGGACCACCCATACACAAAAAAATAATGTATGCACGCATGAATTTAAGTCGCTTTGGATAAAACCGTCTGCTAAATGGCATATTATTATTATTATTATTGTCCCTGACATCCTTGGAGAGCTCTTTGGTCTTGACCATGGTGGAGAGTTTGGAATCTGATTGATTGATTGCTTCTGTGGACAGGTGTCTTTTATACAGGTAACAAGCTGAGATTAGGAGCACTCCCTTTAAGAGTGTGCTCCTAATCTCAGCTCGTTACCTGTATAAAAGACACCTGGGAGCCAGAAATCTCTCTGATTGAGAGAGGGTCAAATACTTATTTCCCTCATTAAAATGCAAATCAATTTCTAACATTTTTGACATGCGTTTTTTTGGATTTTGTTGTTGTTATTCTGTCTCTCACTGTTCAAATAAACCTACCATTAAAATTATAGACTGATCATTTCTTTGTCAGTGGGCAAACGTACAAAATCAGCAGGGGATCAAATACTTTTTTCCCTCACTGTATGATGAAACACATGGAAATCCCTTGACACAAGTTTTACCATAACTGAGAAGTCTCTCTTAAAAATTCATTTCAGACCACTGAGCAGGACTAACTGGACAGGGTAAACACAGTCATGTTGATTATAATGCTAGACACAATCATGAATAATGAAAATAAGGACAATTGAATGGTGATCAAAACGTCAAGATAATAAGCTAGCTGTTACAGCAGAACATTAATAAATCAATACAAGAGAAAGTTGCACAAAGTGCTGGTTTTACAGCATTTCAAATTCCACCTCCTATACAGCTTCTATAGAAGTCACCCTGTTTTGTCTACAATGCAGCTTATACATAAGGCTTGGTGCTAGCCCTTATTCAGGAAATAATTCAGTGTTCATATCCATTCATTGACAGGCTAGCTGACGTATTGTAAGTTGCAAAGACGACAAATCAGGTCCAGCCTTTGAAAGCATCCAAGCATGAGTTCGAGCAAAACCGAGCCCATATACACTCACTGAACAGTTTATTAGATACACCACCCCGTTCACAAAATGGATCGCTCCTACAGACAGTGAGTCACGTGGCCATGGCTTGCTATATAAATCAGGCAGACGGGCATTGAGGCATTCAGTTACAGTTCGATTCAACGTTAGGAGTGACCTAAGCGACTTTGAGTGTAGTATGATCGTCGGTGCCAGGCGCGCCGGATCCAGTATCTCAGAAACAGCCGCCCTCCTGGGCTTTTCACGCACGACAGTGTCTAGGGCTTACTGAGAATGGTGCGACAAACAAAAAACATCCAGTCAGCGGCAGTCCTGTGAGCAGGAAACAGCTTGTTGATGAGAGAGGCCGAAGGAAAATGGCAAGAATCGTGCAAACTAACAGGGGGGCCACAAACAGACAAATAACAGCACAGTACAACAGTGGTGTGCAGAACGGCACCTCGGAACGTACAACTCGTTGATCCTTGTCACGGATGGGCTATTGCAGCAGACGACCACACTGGGTTCCACTCCGATCAGCTAAAAACAAGAAGAAGCACCTCCAATGGGCATGTGATTACCAACACTGGACAATTGAGTGGAAAAACTTTGCCTGGAACATGACAGCGAGTTCAGTTTACTTGAGTGGCCTGCGCAGTCCCCAGACCTCAACCCAATAGAGCATCTTTGAGATGAGATGGAACAGGCTGTTCGCAGCATGAATGTACCGTCGTCCAATATGCAGCAACTGCGTGATGCCATCGCGTCAGCATGGACCAACATCCCTGTGGAATGTTTCAAACACCTAGTAGAATCCCCCTGAAAAATTCAGGCTGTTCTGGAGGCAAAGGTAGGTCCGACCCGGTACTAGATGGTTGGTGTACCTAATAAACTGATCAGTGAGTGTATATAAAACAGGTGTGAGAAGAAGTGATCAGCATGACTAATGTCCCTGTGGGCAATCCTTCTCTGCAATACATTCTCAAATGTAAATATAGAAATACAACCGTCTGGGGGGTAGTGCAGTAAAGCATTAAGCTCTACCTAAGTGTGAAACCACACTGAATGATGGCATGCCATTGGCAACCCAGTTCTGGAAGACAGCCACCCCCGACCCACTCCCCTCACCCCCTCCATGGGCCCCTCCCTGCAGTCCAGTCAGCTAGGCCAACTATATAGCTGACCTTGCAGAGTTCAGGGTATCAGTTGATATGGGGCTACAACAGCTGCATGCCACCCTGTGTGCACCCTTTACTTTAGGCAGTCACCCCGGGACAGTATCAATAACATGTTTAACTTAATTTACCAGAAGATCTGTCCCATAAACCATGAAATCGTTACTTAAACACTGCATACAACATTTTAGTACAGTATAGTATAGTAGTAGCTAAGCTAAAACCATTTGAACATACTTCGGTGAGCACATGACTGTAGCTCTCGAAAACACTTCTCCGTATGTAGGGTTTTCAGCCATTACAGTCGCCACATTTGGCTCAGTGTAAACTACAATTCTGATGCTGGGTTTTAACGTTTAGAAATGTCAATAATCATCGCTTTTGAAGCGGTTTTCCAAAACATATGCTGATGTGTCCCTTATCTTTCATGTCAGCGAGAAATAATCTTTCAAATAAAAAAGATACACTTACTGTAGCAGTTTTGCACAGATCCATACACTGTGTGTGCCTCCAGTTGACGAACTACACTTCCTGCCCAGTTAGCTTACACACTGGTGTTCTTTGGCATGCTAGCTGGGCTGGGGAGTAACTGACTACATGTAATCAATTTGGGTTGGCGCCCCCCCCCTTGGTTTGTGCTGTGGTGGAGACCTCTGTGGGCTATACTCGGCCTTGTCTCAGGATTGTAAGTTGGTGGTTGGGGATATCCCTCTAGTGGTGCGGGGGCTGTGCTTTGGCGGAGTGGGTGGGGTTATATCCTTCCTGTTTGGCCCTGTCCGGGGGTTTCTTCGGATGGGGCCACAGTGTCTCCGGACCGCTCCTGTCTCAGCCTCCAGTATTTATGCTGCAGTAGTTTATGTGTCGGGGGGCTGGGGTTAGTTGGTTATACCTGGAGTACTTCTCCTGTCTTATCCAGTGTCCTGTGTGAATTTAAGTATGCTCTCTCTAATTCTCTCGTTCTCTCTTTCTCTCTGAGAACCTGAGCCCTAGGACCATACGTCAGGACTACCGGGCATGATGACACCTTGCTGTCCCCAGTCCGCCTGGCCTTGCTGCCATTCCAGTTTCAACTGTTCTGCCTGCGGCTACGAAACCCCTACCTGTCCCAGACCTGCTGTTTTCAACTCTTAATGATCGGCTATGAAAAGCCAACTGAGATATATTCCTGATTATTATTTGACCATGCTTGTCACTTATGAACATTTTTTAACATCTTGGCATGGTTCTGTTATAATCTCCACCCGGCACAGCCAGAAGAGGACTGGCCACCCCTCATAGCCTGGTTCCTCTCTAGGTTTCTTCCTAGGTTTTCGCCTTTCTAGGGAGTTTTTCCTAGCCACCGTGCTTCTACACCTGCATTACTAGCTGTTTGGGGTTTTAGGCTGGGTTTCTGTACAGCACTTCGAGATATTAGCTGATGTAAGAAGGGCTATATAAAATAAAATTGATTGATTGATTTGACAGGTAACTAGTAACTAACGGATTACATTTAGAAAGTAACCTACCCAACCCTGCACGCTAGATAGCTAATTAGCACATGTGGCTGTCTGTCTTCAGTAAACACGCACTGTAACATGGAGATATGGACGTGTGGGAACACTGACCCTATAAAAGGTGTGTAGTAATTTACATTTTTTATGATATGAAAGATACGTTCCTTATGTTTCCAAAACACTACCGCAAGCGATGCGTGTTAATGTTTAGAGTAAGCTTCAGGGCTCTTAACAAAACTCCCCCGGTCAGAAGATACTATCGTCAATAGGCGCTAAAGTAGTTAGCGTCAATTAATGGGGTAATGACTCTGAAGAGGGGAGGGGGGACACAATAATAAACACTGATAAGTGTGCATATGGTTTTGATTGCTATTCCCAAATAGATTGTGAGGACTGGATATAGAAAGATCATTTGATCCAGATCAGAAGAACACAAATCTGCAACAATATATATAAAATTGTGTTGGCTTGATCCTCAAGACTTGAGGAGCAGTAAAGCCATTCACTTACAAATAATTAGTTGTCCTATAGACATGACAGCTCTACTTACTATGGGCATTCGTTTTGGCTCTGTTCAAGTAAAATAGCAGGCTAACTCCCAAACGACTCTTCGACCAAAATACTTACAAATCGACCTAGAACCATGAAAAAATTGCACATACAGTATTTAATGTAAAGCCAAAAGGGTTGGCTACCATTATGTCCAATCGTGACATGCGCGTTCAAATACATTTATTTTTTCTATGCACTTAAAATCAGTGTGCACCAGATTGACACGCTCTCTCTACTATTTGTTTCTGCAGTGAGGATTCACCATCTTCAGAGAATTAGTTTGTAACTTATCTGCAGAAAAACGTTGTTTTTGAGTTGTGGTCATCTGTAGCTCAATTGGTAGAGCATGGCGCTTGTAACGCCAGGGTAGTGGGTTCGATCCCCGGGACCACCGATACGTAAAAATGTATGCGCACATGACTAAGTCGCTTTGGATAAAAGCGTCTGCTAAACGGCATTATTATTTTAAAAACAGTAGTAGCAATATGCAAATCAGGGAGCCAAATTAACGGCTTTTTCACTGATGCCATTCGGTCCCATGTTCACCAAAAAGAGCCGTTCGTTCGCGAACGACCCATCAGTATTACTCACACAGTCCTGGCTGTCTTGTATTTCCACAACATCTTGCTGGTCATCTTCCTCATCGCTAGAGAAATCTGCAACATTTTTCTGACTGATGTGTTTCAAATATAGTTCCACGTAGACTTGCTTCTTGTTCTCTGCCGCAGGTAGTGTGACATTGTGGGCTATCAACTCCGACTTCAGTCTTGGCTTGGAGAACTGAGCGGGGTCTTCTACAAACACCGGCATGTCACGCGTTGAGGGACCGACCAAAAAAAGCCAAAGCAAGCAATATGCCAACTTGTTTACAAGCTACTCAAGTAGACAGACGGTCCAATGTCAATGATCCAGCAATGGTTGCTAGCTAGCTACCCTGCTGGTAAGCAAACTACACACTCGGCCAAAAGAACAGGTGCTGCCTGGAAGGGGGTAGTGGGCACTAGTCACTTGATATGCCAGCTAAAACAGTCAAGCAAGCAGCTCAGCTGCAACAGTAGTAGGAGCAGGCTGCATGATTAGCTATCTAAGCTAATTTAATCAGTGAGCATAGTCATGATTCGCTGGCTTCGTGGCATTTAACGTTGATAGTATCAAATGACTTTAATTGTTGATACTGTTTCATGCTTAATTTAGAGCTTATTAAAGTTGTAAAACATTTTAATTAGCTGGTACACGGACGCGGTCTTGGTCGTTTGATGTTGTTGTTCTGATTTGGCGCCAAATTACCTGCACAGCATCTTGATTGGACGCTTTTCACATCACGCTTGCTTTTACAAACGTCAAGTCACCTTGACTAGGCTACTTTTACATGTGAGGCTGGATGGGGCATCATTTGGGGAAGAAGGTATATTTAATTTCCACACATTGGGGCCAAAATTAAGAAAACAAGCAGGTTTACTTGACCAGGTTTGGGCTATTGGTATAAACAATAAGATATCGAGATGTTTCATTCTCAGCATAAACCTTACATGCCGATACCTATGAGTCCACAGCAGCCACCTAACGTTACACAGATAGGGCTCTACATGTGCAAAGCAAAGTGCCCCTTTGGGTGGTGGTATAATTTCATTTTTTTGTCACTGCTGTTCGGAACCCACTGCACGCAAGTCGTTGTGAGTGAAGTTCGCCACCCCGTCCGTTGGCTGCGCCTGTCGAGCTGCCCTATACAGAGCTCGCGCGCGCCGGGTTGCGCCTTTTCCCCCAGTCTGCCCTGTATGGAGATTGCACGCGCTCGGTATCCAAACATGCATGGCTTGAGGGATTCGGTCACCGGTCGAGTGTGTGTAGCTTGCTACATGGTTTAAATATCAACAGTACTGCCACAGTAGCATAACATTTGATTAACACTTGATAACACTTGATTTAGCCTAAATCATCATCAATATTAGGTCTGGTTGGCTGATACACGCAGCAGAGAGAGGCAGAAAAAAACAGACTGGTAGCTAACCACCCAGTGGCGGCTCCTGAAAAAATTCTCAGGGGGGGCAATTTTTCTGATGATTTAGGTGACCTACACACATTTTTTAAAAGATATGTCCAGCAACAACATGAAGACAGGGGCAGCATATAAGTCAATACCAGAAGCATTTATTGACTGATCTCAAAAGTGTTGGCTTACAAAATCAAAATAAGTTATCACAGTAAAAATAATCAAGGGTGTTCTTTCACATTCCTCAACACTGCATAAACAATATGCATTTCCATAAACAAATGAAATATCAGCTGAAAATACAGCATCTTGGTATTTGTTCAGATTGCAGGATCAACAAGAGCTTTTACCACATTTTTTGCCTCATGGTTGAATTGGAAATATGTGCACCTGAGCATAATTCACAACAAGCAAGCAGGAGCTTTTGATAGAGGCTACTGAAAACATTGATGCAAGTTATTGGTAATAAGACATTTTTATAGACTTCCATATTCTGCCCTCTTGTATAGATTTGTGAAAATGAACAGTGATAGACATTTTGCTTGAAAACAGAATTTGAAAGTAATTTCTAGAAAAGGTAAACACAGCTATCTGTATGGCTTTGTAAAAATGAACAACCATATTCTGGCCAATTGTATAGATTTGTAAATATGAACAACCATATTCTGGCCAATTGTATAGATTTGTAAAAATGAACATGAACAGATATTTTTTTTTGTTTTACTTTTTTTTAAATGAAAAATAACTATTTTAAACAACATCAACTGTGAACTGATTTGGGCGTGTGTGTGTTAAAGAGACAGGGAGGGAGGGACAAAGAGAGAGAGAGGCTACATTACTTGTACTGAAACTGTTCTCTTCTCTGTTTCAATACAGCAAAGCGTTCAATGACTTTCTCATTGAAATCAGGCATGCTGAGGACTAGTTCCCTCTCCATGGAAAGCATGGCCAGTGCATTCAGACGTTCCTGGCCCATTGAATTTCGCAGGAATGTCTTAACTCGTGTCAAAGTTGAGAAACATCTCTCAGCTTCAGCTGTTGTCATGGGAGTAGTTATGAGGATGTTCAACAGAGTCACAGTCTCAGAGAACGTCTCCTGGAGGTTGTAGCTCATGAGAACCTGGTACAGTGCCAGTGCACCACAGCCTCCCTTGAATTCAGGATTCTCATAGATCAGAGATAGTTCTGTCTTGAGCTTTGCCTTGCTCAGCATGGGGTATGCATTCACAGTGGCATTCAGAGCCTCATCAGGAAATGAATGGCAGTACCTTTCAAACATGTCTGCTTGCAGTAAGGTAGCACTCACAAGGTGGCCAGAGAAAGAGAACCTTTCTTTGATGTGATCCAGGATGGTGTTGCAGACCTCTTCAGACAGCCTCTGCTTCTCCTCTTCTCTCAAAGCTGTTCTGGGTCTTTTGGCTCCTGTTGCTTCTTGCAGCTGCTGTTGAGAGGAGTCCCTGAAGGCAAACAGACCAATGTGTTTGTTGGCTTTGTACAGTATTGTTGTCTATGTGATGCACAGGTATATGCAATGTATCCATGATGTATAGTACAAATACTTCAGTTCCACTTAAAATGGGCAGGGATGCATAAAGTCTTTAGTGTTTAAGTTAGCCTTTGTGTCTCACATAGCCTGGATGTTCAGCACAGTATACAGTGGTGCTCATAAGCTTATGATCCCATGCTAAGGTTGACTAAAAAGAGGAATAAAAAAGAAAAGAAAATTGGTGTCCATAAAGGTTGGATTTTCCAACTTTTTTAATTAAGTCAGTAAGATAAATTTCCAAAAGATTATTTTTTTATTTTTTTATTCCTCTTTTTAGTCAACTTTAGAATGTGTTCATACACTTATGAGCACCACTGCACAGTACACATAGTATATAAAATAAAATAGATTACACCACTGGCCATATATAATGAGAATAATGTAATTTCAAACACAAATGCAGTCTCCTTTCATGCATACATTTTCAAATAAAGCTCTGCTTTGAGAAAGATCGAATGATATTGTTTAATCTTACCTTATGGCCTGCACACTGCTTGTGAAGCTGTCGAGGGCACTTTTGATAAAGACAGCATCGATGTCCTTCTTCTGTAGCTTCTGGTACAGAATGTCGACGTGGGGCATGATTTTGTGAAAAAGCCGCAGGAAAAAAATAACATCTTCATCATGCAGCATCCTCACGTAGCCAGATGCCTCTCTCACTGTGCCCTGGTCAAATGAACCCAATGAACCCGTCCGGATGGCTTCAAAACATTCTATTAGGTCGTCTCGATTCTCGTAGACAGTGCTACGACTTCAACTCTTGCTATCTATGTACCTCAGCACAAGCACCAACTGTGTCTGTGTAGAAACGTCCGTGGTCTCGTCAGCTTGGATAGCTACGAAGTTCGCAGACTTCACCTCCTCCACAATATGTTCCCTCGTGACCGCTAGCATACACTCCAGTAGCTCGTTTTGAATGGTCTTTGATGTGCCCTTGAAAACTTTAGCATTTTTAAGATGGTCATCAAACACCTCATCTAATTGTGCCACAAAGTTGACAAGTCCAAGAAAAATACCAGGGTTGGTGGAGCCCTCAGTTTCATCTTTGCCTCGCAAAGCTAACTCAAACACGCCGCAAAACTTCACACACTGGATTAGCCGGCTGAGGATATGGCGGTTAATAATATATATATATAATATATATATAATAATATAATATAATATAATATAATATGCCATTTAGCAGACGCTTTTATCCAAAGCGACTTACAGTCATGCGTGCATACATTTTTTTTTTTTTGGTATGGGTGGTCCCGGGGATCGAACCCACTACCTTGGCGTTACAGCTAGCCTGTATCCCTCATCCAGTTGAGTGGCAATATTCACTCTCCCCAAAGCAGAAATTCTCAAACAGCTATCCATGTGGGTCTTTGACAGCTCATGTTTCTTAATCTTTTCTGAAAGATGGTGCATGTCGGTTACACCAGTCGCTGTCCAAGCGGTGCTGTCTGCCGTGCCGCCTTCAGGGTGAATGAGTAAGCAGGGGTAGCAGAAAACTGCATTAGCTACATCGCAGCCTGCTAGCCAGGTTTTTCGTTCATACCAATTTTTGGAAAATCCTCGGGTGTAGGACTTCCCCCCTTTAGTAGAAACCTGTTGAATTATTAAATTTGGTCTGGGAGATCCTAATTGTTTCGTTGCCAATTTATCTTCATTTGTTCGCCGACAAAAAGGAAATTCTTTCAAAGACACAACCGAGTTGCACTGAAGCCTAGCCATGTTGATAGTAGTAGTGAATTGATTGACGCTGCTACCCTCTCTTTTCTTAGTTACGTTCATGTGACGAAAGCGCGTAAGTGCAAGCCCACAGACACCCATTGAGATTGTATTGAAGGCTCTGAAATTTGAAAAAAATAGATTTTACATGGGAGTCTATGACAGAAGTTCTGGGCGATTTTCAATCTGACTGAAATCGCCCCAAAAGGGGGTGGAGCCATTTGAAGCACGACTTTAGCCTGATTCGACATTTAGTGGCAGTGTGGCACTGTGGCAGATCAGACGTATAGATTACAACACTGATAACTACTGTTGCCGTGATATAATTGATTAGAAAAAAAATCCCTTCCTTTTCCCGTTTGGCAGTGCGTCGCCCATATCGCCCTATTGAACAGGCCGTCCCTGTAACCACCATACTAAAATACTGTATCCACACAAGCCACTAGCCAGCCAGCCATATATCATGAGTTAAAAGATTAATAATATTACACTGAACAAAAATATAAACGCAACATGTAAAGTGTTGGTCCCATGTTTCATGAGCTGAAATAAAAAATCCCAGACATTTTCCATACGCATAAAAAGCTAATTTCTCTCAAATGTTGTGCACAAATTTGTTTACATCACTGTTAGTGAGCATTTCTCATTTGCCAAGATAATCCATCCACCTGACAGTTGTGGCATATCAAGAAGCTGATTAAACAGCATGATCATTACACGGGTGCACCTTGTGCTGGGGACAATATAAGGCCACTT